GAGAGAGAGAGAGAGAGAGAGAGAGAGAGAGAGAGAGAGAGAGAGAGCGCTGTGGTTCAGCTAGTCTAATCATGAATGATGTCTGCCAGTAAAGGTTCAGGAATCTAGTAGTTGTTTGCCCCATAAGGCTGAGTGTCTCAGCTGGTTTCAGTATATGCTGAATCCTAAAGAAGTAGGCACTAATGCCAAAGAAAGAATGGACTTGCTAACAAGAGCGAGAGCAAGCAGGAAAAAAGAGAGTTATTCTTTCTCCCATGGCCTTTATACAGGCTCCCAGCAGAAGGTGTGGCCTAGATTAGAGGTGGACCTTTCCACCTCAAACAGAAATCTGGATTAACATTGTATTTTTGCACCTTGACAGTCTAGATTAGAAGTGGAGTCTTCCCACCTCAAATGATTTAATTAAGAAAAAAAGTCCCTCACAGACATGCCCAGCCATTTGGGCTTTCATTCCAGATGTGATCAAGTTGATGACTAAGAATAGCCAACACAGGAGTTAAGACAATGCTCACGCACATAAAATAAAACAATGATAATTACAAAAACACCTACATTAAAAAAGAAAGAAAGAAAGAATGGAAACCTACCACTTTAAAGGATATCATTCCAACTTTATAAAAAGAGGAAAAACATTTTCATGTGAGCACAATTAGGGCAAGCACAAAAGTATGGTTTCTATTTATCCCTGGGTGCCATAATTATTGGCGATTTTAAAAATGCATTATTTCATATTTTCTAAATGTGCTACAATAAATGTGTTACTTTCTTAATCAGAAGAAAACAATTAGTGTTATTTGTTCACAGCAATTAGGTCCAAACACACCAAAAGCCTTTAGCAGTTTTACTTTAACTGTTTGCCTTCCTTTCTGGAAGAGAGAGAAGGAAGCAAGGAAGCCAAGGAGTCGTCCCGGGGTAAAGGGTTCAGCATGCAAATATGAACGTCTGAGTTCTAATCCCTAGCAACCATGTAAAGGGCACAGTAGTGCATGCCTGTAATCACAGGAGAGCAGACACAGGAGGATCCCTGGGACTTTCCGGACCAACCAGTCTAGTCAATTAGTGAGTTCCGGGTTCAGTGAAGAGATCTTGTCTCAAAAACTAAGAAAGGGCTATTCAGATGACACTCAGTAGGTAAAGGTGCTGCTCGAAAGCCCAGTGACCTGAGCTTG